GGGGACTTGTGTGAACACCCCCATGTGCAGTCTGTGGGGGAGCTGGGTGTGAACACCCCCGTGTGCAGTGGGCCTGGGGGACTTGTGTGAACACCCCCATGTGCAGTCTGTGGGGGAGCTGGGTGTGAACACCCCCGTGTGCAGTGGGTCAGGGGGAGCTGGGTGTGAACACCCCCGTGTGCAGTGTGTCAGGGAGCTGGGTGTGAACACCCCCGTGTGCAGTGGGTCAGGGGGAGCTGGGTGTGAACACCCCCGTGTGCAGTGGGTCAGGGAGCTGGGTGTGAACACCCCCGTGTGCAGTGGGTCAGGGAGCTGGGTGTGAACACCCCCGTGTGCAGTGGGTCAGGGGGAGCTGGGTGTGAACACCCTGTGTGCAGTAGGTTGGGGGAGCTGGGTGTGAACACCCCCGTGTGCAGTGGGTCAGGGGGAGCTGGGTGTGAACACCCCGTGTGCAGTAGGTTGGGGGAGCTGGGTGTGAACACCCCCATGTGCAGTGGGTCAGGGGGAGCTGGGTGTGAACACCCCCCATGTGCAGTGGGTCAGGGGGAGCTGGGTGTGAACACCCCGTGTGCAGTAGGTTGGGGGAGCTGGGTGTGAACACCCCGTGTGCAGTAGGTTGGGGGAGCTGGGTGTGAACACCCCCCATGTGCAGTGGGTCAGGGGGAGCTGGGTGTGAACACCCCCGTGTGCAGTGGACCTGGCTGGAGCTGGGTGTGAACACCCCCCATGTGCAGTGGGTCAGGGGGAGCTGGGTGTGAACACCCCCGTGTGCAGTGGACCTGGCTGGAGCTGGGTGTGAACACCCCCCATGTGCAGTGGGTCAGGGGGAGCTGGGTGTGAACACCCCCCATGTGCAGTGGGTCAGGGGGAGCTGGGTGTGAACACCCCCCATGTGCAGTGGGTCAGGGGGAGCTGGGTGTGAACACCCCCGTGTGCAGTGGGTCAGGGGGAGCTGGGTGTGAACACCCCCGTGTGCAGTAGGTTGGGGGAGCTGGGTGTGAACACCCCCGTGTGCAGTGGGTCAGGGGGAGCTGGGTGTGAACACCCCCGTGTGCAGTAGGTTGGGGGAGCTGGGTGTGAACACCCCGTGTGCAGTGGGCCTGGCTGGAGCTGGGCCACCTCCTCGCTGGACGCCCCTTGTTGCTCTGTTCTTTCCAGGGCTCGGCCAGGGCGGGTCTTGTAAGATGTCATGACTACAAAGCACACATTTCAAGGACAAGGCGTGTGATGGGAACGAAGAGGAGGGGACACTGCCTTCCTCCCGGCCGGACTTCCTCTTTCCATCGCTGGCGTCCCGGAGCCCAGTCCTTGGCCTGCCTCTCGTCCCCTCGTGCGAAGGCCCCTCCTCACCTGGCCTCCTCCCTCTGCCTCCCGCCCTGCTCCCTCCCGGCCATCGCTCCGAGGCCCCCTTCTGCCCGGCCTTTCCCATCACACGCCCTGCTAGGCCAGCGGTTCTCACCCTGGCTGCACATTAGAGTCACCTGGGAATCTTTTAAAATCCTGATTTCTGGGCCTCATCCTCCCCTGGGAATCTTTTTAAAATCTCGGAGGATGAGGCCCAGAAATCAGGATTTTAAAAAGATTTCCGAGTGAATCTAATGTGCAGCCAGGGTTGAAAACCACTGTGTTAGGCTGTTTTACGTTAATTTAGGCCCCTCTGTTTCCCATCATTACACACACCCCTCTCTCAGCTCAGCAAAGCAGCAATCACAGAGGGCTTCGGCTTTTATTCTTTCTTTTAGAGAGAGAAGAAGGGAGAGGGAGAGAGAGAGAAACATCGATCGGTTGCCTCCGTGTGCAGAGCGGCCCGGGATCCAACCCACAACCTAGGCAAGTGCCCGGCCCAGGAATTGGGCCTGGACCTTTCGGTCACAGGGCGATCTCCAGCCCCTGAGCCCCACCGGCCGGGGCAGGGGCACCGGCTTTTAGAGTTCAGCCGAGGGGCTGCCTTCCAAGGTGTGTCACCCTCGTCCATGGGAGCGTCGGCGAGCCCACAGCCAGGGGGGGTCTAAGCCCCAAATCCGAAAAGCTCTTCTCACCTCCTTCCTTTCCCGCCTCGATCCTTCCACGCCCCCTACTCACCTCGAAGCGGCAGCTCCCTCCCTCCTCCTCCAGGGAGCCTTCCCGACTAGCATTCCCTCGAGCTTCCCAGTCTCCCTCTGGCCTCTGGGCTTCCCAGGCGGCGCTCAGTCCTGTTCTGTTTTCCTGTGAAAGCCCCTCATTAGCGTGGCTGACGGTGTTGCCGCCAGGAGGACGAGAACCAATATACACGGTTTCCACTGCATCATTGCTCCTCATTACAGCGTGTGTGCGTGTGCATGTGTGTGTGTATGGGTGCGCATACGTGTGTATGTGCGTGGATGTGTGTGCACGTGTATGTGCATGCATGTGTGCATGTGCATATGTGCGCATGCATGTGTGTGCGTGTGTGCGTGCGTGTGTGTTTGTGTGCGCATGTGCGTGTGTGCGTGTTGTGTGTGTGTACGCGTGTGCATGTGTGTGTGTGTGTGGCTGCGCCGGTCCATACTCTTCATAAATACAACGCGCAGCACCCGAATAGCACTTCCAAGGCCATTAGGAAAGGCCGCGCCAGAATTCAGTTCCAGGAAAAATGTCTGAGTGGGTCTGGGAGGCAGCATAGCACGGGGAGTTCCCCTGGAAACAGCACCGGATCGGCGCCCTGGACTCTGCACGGGCCTCCCGCTCCCGCACCGCCGGGAAACGGCAGGAAAAGGAACCGACGCTGGGTGGCGAGCACTCGGTGCCACACGCAGGGATGTGCTGTGGAACCGCCCACGCCAGACTCACATACCGCTAACCCGCATCACCCCAGTAATTAGTGAAAAGTGATAATGTTTTTTAAAAAATATTTTTCACTGATTTCATAGAGGAAGGGAGAGGGAGAGAGAAAAACATTAATGGTGAGAAAGAATCATCATTGGCCGCCTCCTGCACGCCCCCCACTGGGGATGGAGCCCACAACCCGGGCCTGTGCCCTGACCGGGAATCCAACCGTGACCTCCTGGTTCCTAGGTCGGGGCTCAGCCCCTGGGCCACGCGGCCGGGCCCTTTAACCGAAGCCCTTTAACCGCGACGACACCGAAGGCAGAGTGACAGCGGCCGGGAGGGCGGCTCTGCAGCTGCGGGAGGATGTGGCGTTGGATTCTGCTGATTCGTCAGCACGTGGCCCTGGGCAGCGGCTCCAGCACCTCGGTGCCAGTTTCCTTAGTAACAGGCCGTAGCGCCCACATCACGGCTCACTGCGAGGTGAAACGAAGGTTCTCAAGTGCTTGGGAGGGTGCACATCGTCTTCCTGTCACCTGTGTTAGGAACACGTGTCCGCAGCACTTGCGGGTGTTCAGAGCAGAACCGGCCCAGGACACGCCCTGCGTGAATGCGTGTTATTCGTCATATTTAAAGGAAAAGCAGGGATTGCATAGCAGTAAATCCCAGGCCCACATTTTCTCTGGGAAAGGCTAACAGGAGATGGGAAAATACAGGCAACCAACCAACCACCACCACCAGCAGCAACCACTGTATACACACACTGACTCATTCTAAAGGCCGTGTTTGTTGGAATACATTTCAGTTTCAATGGAGCATCAGCTGTTAATGTGTGTGTGCATTTACGGGGACACCCTGTATATACGTATGTTTGTATTTTTAAATTCATACTTTTTTTTCTTATTTGGGGCGAACAAATCTGCAGGCCCGTGCAGGGGGGCTTTGCCTCTGGGGAGACGCCGGGGCACCTTGCTGTCAGTCCCTGCTCCTTCGGGAATGTTCTGGAAACACCACAGAGCGCGCCGGCAGCTTGTTCCTGTCCCGAGGCCACAGAGACACCCCTGGGACTCCCCAGAGCGCGCCCGGCGATGGGCGATGTGAGGAGACGCGAGGCTCGGCCGCTCCTCGGCACAGACAAGTCCCTGAACTCCCGTAAAGGACGGCCCGATATCGGGTGAATTATTCCGGAGAATCACCCGAGATCCCAGTGAGAAATGCCAAATCCCAGATGTCATGGGGTCGTCGGAGGGGACAGATGGGGGTGTGTGTGTTGGGGGGGGGAGAGTCTGAATTTCAAACAAGGTCTTGATTCGTTTTCAGTTTCTCCCGGGAGGCGCCTCCTGCCTGCGTTTGAGAATCAGTCAGAGTCTAGACTAGCGGATCACCACCGCCCCCCGCTGGCAGCCGAGCCAAAGTACAGGATCCAGCGCCGGCCGCAGTGGCCTGGACGGGAGGTCTTCCCAGGGACCGTCTGAGCGGCCATCACACGAGGCCAGGGGCCGGCCGGCTGCTAGCACAGTCCGCTTCCTGAGTTTCCGGGTCGGCCTGTTAGGCCCGTCGGCTTCGGACCCTCGAGGACACAGCCTCTTGTCCTGTTGAGAACAGACCTATCTGTTGATTTTCTCCAGCTGTGGACTCACCACAGCAGCCGTTGGTGGAGGAAGAGAAAACACCTCGTCCATAAGCCGACCGGTCGGAGGGTCCTCGCGGGAGCCGAGGGGGCGGCCCTGCAGCAGGGGCACACCCACCAGGAATAATTCTTTGCCTGTTGGGCGCTGTGGCTACCCCGAGGGGACGGCAAGCAGAAGGTGACGGCGTCCGGAATGTTCCTTCTCCCCCTCCAGAGGCTGGGTGCTTCTGCACCGCGGCTGCCCTCTGGGCGTTTGAGCGGAAGCTCTTAGCTTTGCTGAGCTCCACTCCGTCCGCCTCGCCTCCGGGGAGATGTGGCCACAGGGGCCGGGGGCGCAGGGCGGGTGCTGCCTTCTGATGGGAGCTGGGATGTCGCAGTGAGTCAGGGTCCAGGCCTGTGCTCCTGGGAGGGCGAGCAGCAGCCGGCTCCCCCACCCAGCCCTGGGCACCCCTGCAGCAGGCGGGCTCCCCCCACCCAGCCCTGGGCACCCCCGCATCAGGCGGGCTCCCCCCACCCAGCCCTGGGCACCCCCGCAGCAGGTGGGCTCCCCCCACCCAGCCCTGGGCACCCCCGCAGCAGGCGGGCCTGGCGGGGCTCACGGCGACTGACAGCCGGATTGCACGTTCCCCATGAAAACACACGCTGCCAACGAGGCCTCACGGCCGAGCACCCCTGTCGGCGGCTGGACCAGCTGAGGGTTCGTGCGGGACGGGACGCTCTAAGCATTAGCAGATGCTGCAGAGGGGACGGCGACGCGACCAAAGGACGGGTTCAGAGCGACCGCCAGTCCCGCCAGGACAGCCCCAGCCCCACAGCCTCCGCCCCTCCTCCCCGGGTCGGAGCGGAGAGTCCTCCCTCCAGGAGCTCCGTGCACACGCGGGCGGCCCGCGGGCTTTGTGTGACTCGCGGGCAGAGTGTGGAGAGGCTGGGCGAGCCCAGGGGACTCTCGGGCAGACTCTGTGGACAGCGCTGCCGTGGCCGACGCCCCGCTGATGACACGGCACATTCCTCTGCGGACGAAGCCACAGGAATGCGGGCGCGGAGTCGCGGCTGCTTGATGTGCGTTTTACTAGCAACCCGGGAGCTGTTTGTGCAGATCAGTGGCTGCTGTCCAGCTGGCGTGCCCACCCCGGCCCGGGGTATAAAAGGCCCTGCGCCGCCACCAGCCTCATCCCACCGGCACCCGCTCTCCGCCGTCCACGTCCACCGGACCTGCTCTCGCCACCATGACGCGCTTCTTCTGCTGCGGCAGCTACTTCCCCGGCTACCCCTGCTACGGCACCAACTGGCACGGGACCTACCGCGCCACCCCCCTGAACTGCGTGGTGCCCCTGGGCTCGCCCCTCAACTACGGGCAGGGCTGCACCGGCTACGGCTCCCTGGGCTACAGCTTCGGCGGCAGCAACTTCGGGAACCTGGGCTGCGGCTACGGCGGCAGCTGCTGGCGGCCCTGGGGCTCCGGCTCCGGCTTCGGCTACAGCACCTACTGAGGCCCAGGGCCGGGGGCACCCCGGACGCCCTGGGACACCCCGGGACACAGAGCCCCCCGCAGAGCAACGCCTGTCCCGCCTGTGGACGTGCTGACCACGCCGAGGTCTGGTCTCCGAGGAGGCTGAGCCACAGCCACAGGCGCTGGACTGGTCCCTGCAGCTGAGGCCGCCGGGCGCCCTCCCGGCCGGGACCGGGGCAGGGAAGTGCGGGCTTGGCTCTTGGGTGACTTCCCCGGTGTCCCTGCTGGCACCCGGGCGGGTAGGAGGGTTGCGCTGTCGTCTCTAATAAACCTCACTCTTTCCGCATGACCCCTGTGTCCTGGTGGTTCCTCTCCTGCTCTCACGCGTTAGCCCGTAACCAGTTCCCGCCTGTCGGGGCGCCTCGACCCAGGTCTTCTTCTCACTTCAGGCCGTGCATGGGGATGGGGGACGCCTCACATTTTGTCTCTTTATTTTTAAGATTTCAATTTTTAAAAATGTCATTAAAATGTCCTAAATATGCCCGGCCAGTGTGGCATCGACCTATGAACCAGTTCGATTCCCCATCAGGGCACAGGCCCGTGTTGCAGGCTCCATCCCCAGTAGGCGGTGTGCAGGAGGCAGCTGATCCAGGATTCTCTCTCATCATGGATGCCTCTCCCTCGCCCTTCCTCTCTGAAATCAATACAAATGCATTTTAAAAAGAACTCCTAGATCGAACCCACAGATGCTGACAGTGTCCGTGTGCTTCTGGGCTGGTTATAAGTAGGAACATCTCCCAGCTGCCGGGCGCCAGGAGACGGCCCCGCCTTCATCACTGACCGTCCCCGTCGTCCTCCCCCGCCCCTGCTCAGAGCTCAGCCCGAGAGGTTTGAACCTCTGGCTGTTGGAAGAGTTCCCAGTGGATGGACTTGGCCACGAGTCTGGTTCTTAGGGGTCCCTAAGATCTGGCCACAGAGAGAAGCAGCAGCTAAAACACACAGCGTTTCCCCCTTTGATAGAAGGGGTGTCCCCGCCTTCTTCCCTCGGGGACACGTGCGCTGTGTTGACAGGAGCCTCTTATTCTTGGAAGGACAGTGGCATCGAAAGCCCCTGCGGTGTTACGGAGTCGGCACGTGGAAGCACCTTGTCTCGCTGGCTGGGACTCTGCTTTGTCGAAGCCAAATACCCCGTTAGAGTGAAGGCTCCTTGGTTCCTGGGTTAGATGCTCATCACACCTGCCTGTTTCATGGAAGATGCGCAGTGACTGTTCACTGACGTGCTCGCTGCTTCCCGGGCCCTGAGTACTGCGTCGGCCCAGGCCAGTGGTCGGCAAACTCCTTAGTCAACAGAGCCAAATGTCAACAGGACAACGATTGACATTTCTTTCGAGAGCCAAATTTTTTAAACTTAAACTATACAGGTAGGTACATTGTTATTAACTTCATTAGGGTGCTCCTAAGCTGGCCTTTGCTAAAAACGTCCTCAATCTGATGGAGGCACGTTCGCTGAGGTCGACCCCTTCCAACTCTCCCATCCACACTCTTCTTGTATACTTGTTTCGTCTATCTCCTTTCGTTCATCCTCTCTGTACATCCAAACCATCTCAGCACACCTTTCTCCGTCCTCGACACTGCATCTTCTTTCACTCCACAACGTTCCCTAAAATTAACTTAATAAACTTTACTTAAAGTTTTAAGTCAACTTCGCACTGTATGTGTGTGCCTCGCACGTGGTACTTTGTGGAAGAGCCACACTCAAGGGGCCAAAGAGCCGCATGTGGCTCGTGAGCCACGGTTTGCCGACCACTGGCCCAGGGAGCCCATGCACCTCTGTGTGGGGTGTGGCTGGGCTCTGGCCGCCCGGTCACGCCGTGGGGCCTGTCTACACTGGATGGAGGCTCCGCCGGGGAGCCGGCTGCTGTCCGAGGGGCTCCCTCCCCAGACACGCCCACAGCACAGCGCTCAGCACTGTCCTCAGGTTTGGGGACAGAGAGAGAAATAGTCCTTCCCTCAAAGGTGCCCGGCCGGCGCGGCTCAGTGGCTGAGCGTCAACCTCTGAACCAGGAGGTCAGGGTTGGATTCCCGGTCAGGGCACAGGCCCGGGTTGGGGGCTCAATGCCCAGTGGGGGGCGCGCAGGAGGCAGCCGGTCTATGGTTCTCCCTCGTCATGGATGTTTCTATCTCGCTCCCTCTCCCTTCCTCTCTGACATCAATTAACAAAAACCTTGGCGACACAGGTCCTAATGTTTAAACCCAATTACTTTTATGTGGAGTTTATGGTCAGCAAGGACTTTGATGACATGACGCTTCCCGTGGGCTGAGCGTGCCGTCCTGTCTCATTTGGCAGCAACGGGAGACATCACTTTCAAGGTCATCAGAAGGACACGCCCTCAGGCCTTCCAAAGGGCAACCCCAGGGGGAGGGAGACTCGCGGCTGCGTCTGTCCTGCACGGAGGAAGCCGAGGCCGGCCCTTCTCGTCCTCCCTCCTTCCAGAGCGTGGGCAGGCGGCGCTGTGCTTTTAATGCACACACATGCCCAGCGTGTGGCTCTCCCCTGTCACTCCCGGCAGACCTGTGGCCATGAGCTCCCCCATCGCCATCGCCAAGAACAGTAGGGTCGCCCCCCCCCCCCACCACCACCACCACCGGGCTCAGAGCTGCAGCAGGAGCGTGCCTGCCCGGACGTGCTTTCCATGTCGCTCGTGAAACACGCGGGAGGCCTCCCCAATGGGAGGCCGCGAGCCTGAGGTGCGCACAGGGCAGCGGTGGTTTCCTGTTATCTTTCCAGGAAACCACGTGGGTCCGCATCAAAGCGCCAACGTCAGTAGTTAGGCCTCCCCAACGTGGCTGAGCCCCCAAAGCGCCAAGAAGGCGAGTGATTGGAACCGAGTCTCAGGGAGCCCCAGACGGGTCCGCGGGTCTGGCCTGCGACACGCCTGGGCGAGGCCTGCAATCCCCGTTGGCGGCAGGCGATCTTGACTTTAGATCAGCATTTTTAGATGAGCAGGGGGAGGGAGAGAAGAAGAGAAACATCAGTGATGAGAGGGAACCCTGGATGGGCTGCCTCCTGCGCGCCCCCCACTGGGGATCGAGCCTGCAGCTCGGGCCTGTGCCCTTGACCGAGTCAAACCATGACCTCCTGGTTCATAGGTCGACGCTAACCACTGAGCCACGCCGGCCAGGAGAAGACAGCATATTTTAATTTTTATTCACCGCTGCTGCTCAGACCCGAGCTGGTGTTTTGCCTGGGGGCAAAGCCAGCATCTTAGATTGGGAAACGCGTTTAAACCGAGCCTCGTAAATGAACGCTGGCATCCGTTCAAACCTTCTCGTCGTTGCCTGGTGAGGGCTGCCTCCCGCTCAGCTGTTCTCCCCCAGCCTACCCGCCCCCGTGACCAGGCCGAGCGGCGACGTAGGAATGCAATGTCGCTCCCCCCTGCCTTCCAGGGCAGGGCCTGCTGCGGGTTTGTTGCCGTTTAGGGGTGACGCGGACTGGGGTTCCCTGGCGTGGCTGAGCTGTGGCCACAGGGGTGCTGGGATCCTAGGTGCTGAGTCACCTGTGCCCTCGGCTGTGGGGGAGGGGGGGCCGCCCGCCCGCAGACACACCTCTGCTGCCACCGGCCCATTAGCGGTCAGGACGCCGCACAGCTTTGCGTTGTTCTGAGCGTCTCCCCGTGACCTTGGGCTCACCCCGCGGTCGCCAGGTGCTCCCCGAAATTTACGTCTCGGCCGCTGTAGCTGGAGGAAAGTGACCCCCTGAGACCTGAGGCAGGTTTGGGGGCTAGTGGCTCACACAGCTGCCCTGTGCATTCTGCGCGGGTTCCTCAGACTCCGCCTTGCGTTTCCGCACGTCCCTTCTGTAAGGCGCTGCCCTGGGTCCCCTCTGTGAGGCGCTGCCACAAGTCCCTCTGTAAGGCGCTGCCCTGGGTCCCCTCTGTAAGGCGCTGCCCTGGGTCCCCTCTGTAAGGTACTGCCCGGGGTCCCCTCTGTAAGGCGCTGCCCGGTGTCCCCTCTGTAAGGCCCTGCCGCAGGTCCCCTCTGTAAGGCGCTGCCGTGGGTCCCCTCTGTAAGGTGCTGCCGTGGGTCCCCTCTGTAAGGCGCTGCCCGGGGTCCCCTCTGTAAGGTGCTGCCGTGGGTCCCCTCTGTAAGGCGCTGCCGCGGGTCCCTCTGTAAGGCGCTGCCGTGGGTCCCAGGATAATGACCAGGGCTTGCCGGACCCCAATTAGCATTCATGGGCCGTGCTGCTCCGTGACTTCACATTTGGGACTAAATGTCTGTTTAGAGAGGAACGACTTCTGTTCCCTATCCTGGGTGCGTGGTCCTTTGGGGAGTAAATAATTACTTCGCGGGACCCTCAGATTTGACAGGCCAGATGGTTTTATTAGCCTAATGTATATGTACTAGAGGCTCAGTGCACGAAATTTGTGCAGGGGGGTGGCGCCCTCAGCCCAGCCTGCACCCTCTCCAATCCGGGACCCCTTGGGGGATGTCCAACTGCCGATCCCGGGGATCGGGCCTAGACCAGCAGTCAGACATCCCTCTCACAATCCTGGACTGCTGGCTCCTAATCGCTCACGTACCTACCTGCCTGGTCGCCCCTCACTGCTCTCCCCCCCCCCCCCCGCCCCGCCAGCCTGATGGCCCCTCACTGCCCCCTGCCAGCCTGGCTGCCCCCAACTGCCCTCCCCCCCACTGGCCTAGTTGCCCCTCATGGCCCCTCCTACCAGCCTAATCGCCCCCAACTGCCCCCCTGCTGGCCTGGTCACCCCAACTGCCCCCCCCAGCCTGATGGCCCCTCACTGCCCCCCTGCCAGCCTGGTCACCCCAACTGCCTCCCCTGCTGGTCTGGTCACCCCAATTGCCCCCCGCCCCCCGCCAGCCTGGTCGTCTCACCAGCCTGCTTGTTCAGTCGTTTGGTTGTCCCTCACTAACCCCCCTGCCAGCCTGGTCGTAGGCAGTCATCTTGTGAGGGTGTGAGGGTTAATTTGCATATTACCTCTTTATTATATAGGATATATATATTTATTATATAGGATATATATATATATTAGGGTAAAATTTCACATGTGTTTTTATGTCATTATTTTCAATATTTACTTCAAAATGTGTAGTATCAGACCAACAAATCATAGTTGTTTGATAATTCATGTCTAGGATCAGTTTGCAAATTTCATTTAAAACATTTTTAATTTCTTTACAATGACAAGCTTGCTCGTCTGGGCAGTGGGTGGAAGGGTGATGCCGGAGGTCATCAGGGAGGTCGGTAACGAGGTAAACGTTTAACCAGTTTCCCGAACAGGGTGACTGTGAGCAGAGAAAACAAAAATAAAATAAAAGGCGTCTTTCTGATGAGCCCGTGGCCTTGGCCCCGTCTGCTGCCCCCAGAGAATTCTTAATTCTTGTTTATTAAATGTTTCGGGGTGACGCCGGCCAACAGGACCTGACAGGGGTCAGGCGTGGGTTTCTGTGTTACGAGGTCTGGATGCGGCCCCGTGTGCCCCCCACCCAGTCAGATCTCCCGTCCCCGTCCGTGAGAGCCCTCACCCGGCAGGGAATGCTTCACCCAGTGACCCCGAGACCCGGGTCTGAGACGGACGCCCTGTGGGTGTCTGACTTCATTGACAGTTTATTCAGCACCTGCTCGTGGAATTCCTCTGCGTGTCGCTGTGGACTTTCTGGAGCAGGAGGCTGGGAACAGGTATGACCTCGGGGGTCAGCGCTGCCCACAGGGCGCCTCGATGCCACGCGTGTCTGTGCCTCATCTCCGCCCAGGACCCTGCGGGCCCTGCCAGGCCTGCTCCAGGGAAGGGACCTGGGAGACACGCGCCAGGAGGGTCCCCGCAGCTGGAAGGACATCTGAGCAGGAGCAAAGCAGTTAACGAGCTTCCTGGACGCAAATTGGTGTCAGCGCGAAAACGAGCGGCTGGCGCTCGGCCCCGCCCGCCCGCGGGGGATATAAGGGAGGCGGCCGGCAGCCGGCACACAGCACAGCCTCCTCTCCCAGCTCCACCGACAGACAGCCAGACGGCCAGCCAGACGGACAGCATGCACTGCGGCAACTTCGGCAACTTCTCGGGCGCCGTCTTCCCCGGCTGCTACTGGGGCAGCTACGGGTACCCCCTGGGCTACAGCGTGGGCTGCGGCTACGGCAGCACCTATTCGCCCGTGGGCTACGGCTGCGGCTACGGCTACGGCGGCTGCCTCAGCTACCGGCGGTACTGGCCCTACGGCCTGTACTGAGGGCCCGGCCGGGCCTCCGGCTCCCGCCCCCGACACCGGCTCCCGTCCCCTCGCCCGCCCGCCGACCAGGACCCCGGGACGGAGATGAACGCCAGGGGCTGCCGGCAGCTCCCCGCCCGGGGGCGCCTGTCCGGACCTTTCCAGAAGCCTGACCCCCACACCTGTCTTCCCTCCGGGTGTCTCCCCAGCCCCGCCCCGCCTGCCGTCTCAGGGTGTGGGTGGGCCCGTCACAGCCTCAATAAACTTGTCTGACTCTGCAGAGCACCCTCCCCGAGTGGATTTCGTTTCTGGGGGTGCACGCCTTCTGTTCGGTGGGGTGGGGAGGCAGGCGATGCCGTGGTAGAAGCAGCCAGAGCCCTGGCCGGTATGGCCCAGTGGATAGAGCGTCGGTCTGTGGGCTGAAGGGTCTGGGTTTGATTCTGGGTCAAGGGCACAGGCCGGGTTGTGGGCTCGATCCCCAGTGTGGGGTGTGCAGGAGGCAGCCGATCAAATGATTCTCTCTCATCATTGATGTTTCTCCCTCTCCCCCTCTCCCTTCCTCTCTGAAATCAGTAAAAATATATTTAAAAAAATATAAACAACATATTAAAAAAAAAAAGCAGCGAGAAAGCAAAGACTCCCTGACCCTGAGTGACCAGCAGGAGGAGGGGCTTGTGTTTCCCTGCCCTGAAGGCGGTGGATCCTGCCAACGGGGCGCCAGGGCACAGCGCCCCGTCAAGCGACCCTCCTCCCTCGCACCCCCTCCTCCCAGGAGGACCCGATAGGGGGCATAGGCCCCCCTTTCCCAATTGACCTCTTCCAGACCCCGCCCCCCCCAGGCCCTCACCTCCCCACTGCCTGTGTCCACGGGTTGTGCATATATGCACACACGTTCATCGGCTGATCTTCCCCCCCCCCCCGCCTTTTCAGTCATTTCCACGTGCGTGCAGGCGGGCGGAGGACAGGAGATGACCTCAGACTACCGATCTCAGCGTCCCTCCCAGGGACCCTGCCCGGGAAGAGGACCGTGTCTTCCGCGTAAGCGTTCGGGCCTCAGCCACAGACCAGCACGGGCAGGTGGGGGGGTCTGCGGGTCACGGGCGGAGGGCAACCCCGTGTCACACCACCTACGCCGTTCGCCTCAGGCTGCGCACCAGGTGGGTGCCCTTCATCTCTGCGGACCCCACCAGGTGGTGAGCTTCACCCCTTACCAGACAGGAGCACCTTCTCACAGGCCGAGGAGGAAGGCAGCCCCCGTGACAGATTCTGCAGCTGCTCAGCCTTTCTGTGCGTGATTTCAGAGACGAGAGCAACATGTCTTCATGAGCCAAGTAAGGAAGTCGCCGTCGGCCTGTGGAAAACATTGTGTGCACAGCGACGGGGGGGGGGGGGGGGGGGCGGGGATGGGTTATGCACGGTGATGAGGGATCGGCTCGCGCCTCTGTGGCGTCTGCCCGGGGCTATACTCTGCCATCTCCTCGCAGCTGAAAGTGCAAAGGGGACATGGGGAGTCCTGGTGGAAGGTGCTTTCTCCCACCTCCCAGCCAGTGGGGGTCGTACTGTTAGAGCGTCTGCTCACGGATCTGCTTAGATCCTTCCCCAGGAGGTGCCGGCACAGCCGAGTCTCCGGCTTGACCCTCCGCGGGCTCCCTGCTGTGAGAACGCGGCCCCGTCAGCGTGCGGCCGGAGCAGGGCAGGACGGACGGGGGCCGGGCCTGGCAGGTGTGTGGTTGACTGCGCCTGAGCCACAACCATGCCCGACCGTTTGTGCTTGAACAACCCCCAGAGGGTGTCTAGCCGCCCTCCCTGCCCGCAGCCGTGGCGGCAGGAGGTCAGCTGGCGGCAGCTGAACATGCCCACGCTCATGCCCCCTCCCCCCGGGAATTCTGGCGGGCACGTGTGAACACGGTCCAGAGACCCGCATGTCTTTCCAGCTCCGCTGCGGCCTGATTGCCAAATAAGGATCGCACGCACTTAGGACACCAGGATGACGTGAGGCGTGTAGACACCGTGAGTGACTCCCATGGCCACGCTCCTGGGCACGCCCGTCACCTTGCCGAGGACCCTTTCCAGGCCCATGAGGAGGCGCTCGCCACCCAATCCCCCGGGAATGCCAACTGCAGCCTCAGTGAGGCGCCACCCACCCGACCGACAGACGTCAGTGCCGGCCAGGACCCTCCTCCGCGGTTGGTGGGAACGTGAATGGGCTCAGACGCGGACAGAAGCCGGGACGGAGGTTTCTCAAAACGTGAAGGAAAGGTCTGTCTGATGACCCGGCTGCCCCTCCTCCGAGGACTTGCCCAAAGGACTGAGGTCACATGCGAGGGCGTCTGCGCCCCAGGCTCACAGAGTGACTTGCAGAAGCCCAGCTGTGGAAATGCCGCGTGTCCACAGGCAGGTGAGCGGGTGAGAAAGACGTGTAGACCCACCATGGACTATCATTCAGTCATAAAAACTCACAATAAAAGATTCAGAAAGTATTTTATTTTATAATTTCACTTATGATTATTTTAAAAAGAAGGACATCTTGTCACTTGCATGGAGACACCAGAAACCTAAGTTTCAGAAGAAGCCCAGGGTTCCACACACACACTTAATTATTATGTATTTATGCGTTTCCCAGGACACTGAGTCCCGGAAGGAAAATTGCTGGCATCTCAGCAAGGCCGGCAGAGGAGGGGACGTCTCCCCGCAGAGATGTCCGAGGGGCGACCCTGTGCTGGGCCTCCCTCCCCGACACCAGCTGGAGGGGTCGCCGGGCTCTGCTCGGAGGAAGCAGCGTGTTATTCATGAACTCACGTTCTCCCACACCATGCGGTGCCGTTCGGCGACCTTTAACCGCACGCGCCTGGGGAATGCTGAGGAGGAGGTTTTCTCTGGGGTCTGGGATTTGTGTGCAAACAAACCAACCAACCTGGCCCTGGCTGGTGGCTCAGTGCTTAGAGCCCTGGCCCGCACACCTAAGGGTCCCGGGCTTGACTCCTGGTCAAGGACACACACCTGGGTTGCAGGTTCAATCCCTGGCCCCGGTCGGGGTGCTTGCCGCAGGCAACCCATGGCTGCGTCAGCCTCGCACGGATGTTCTCTCCCCCTCCCTCCCTCCCTCCCGTCCACTCTCTCTAAAAGTCAATAGGAACTATACCCTCAGGTGAGGATTAAGAGCAGCAACAAATCTCCGTGAGTCATGTGCCCACGCGCCACCGATTTAGCAATTACTGGTCCTTGATGCACGGGGTTCCGTTCCCGTCCTCAGCTTCCTCGTTCATTCCGAACCTCGGAACAGAGATCGTCTTACTTGGAGAGGATTCTGAGAAATGAAACCAGAGCGGACACATGTGATGGATAAAAGGACGACGGAAGAGGAAGAGCAGTCGGTGCTGCATGGGGCGGGGCCAGGCATCCGTGTGTCATGGCAGGTCCGCCTTCCTAGACACTCAGTCATCATGACGGGCATCCGACTGCTCAGTCGGCAGGAGAGGCGGGTGAGCAGCCCTTTGCCGACCTCTCGTCACTCTCCCGGGCCTCAGCCGTCTTGGGTGGGAGCCAGGTGCCCGCGCCGTCTGACTTGGATGCAGCTCCGAAGGTCGGGCACGAAGAGAAGTGTTGTCTTTCTTCCCTCCTTTCTCGTTCATTGCTCATGTCTTCTGGTCGCCTGAACAGGAAGCTGCATATTTAAGCTCTCCCGTGGACAGGGCCCTGGAGGTGAGAAAGGTGATTGAAGAGTAAAGGCGTCCCAGAGAGAAGGGCAGCGACGGAGAGAGGCGTTCTGCCTCCATGTTGGGTGGCTCAGGGGGTTCCTGCGAGAAAGGCCTGGCTGGGGATGTTCTGAGTACCTTCCTGAGCTACGGGTCTGTGACCACCTGGTGCCAGACAGAATCACACGCCCAGCCTCCCGTTCTCACCCTCCCCTGCCCAGCCTCCCGTTCTCACCCTCCCCTGCCCAGCCTCCCGTTCTCACTCTCCCCTGCCCAGCCTCCCCTCCCAGCCTCCCCTTCCCAGCCTCCCCTCACCTGTCCAGCCTCCCCTTCCCAGCCTCCCCTCACCTGCCCAGCCTCATCTTCCCAGCCTCCCCTCACCTGTCCAGCCTCCCCTTCCCAGCCTCCTCTCACCTGCCCAGCCTCCCCTTCCCAGCCTCCTCTCACCTGCCCAGCCTCATCTTCCCAGCCTCCCCTCACCTGCCCAGCTTCATCTTCCCAGCCTCCCCTCACCTGCCCAGCCTCATCTTCCCAGCCTCCCCTCACCTTCCCAGCCTCCTCTCACCTGCCCAGCCTCATCTTCCCAGCCTCCCCTCACCTTCCCAGCCTCCCCTCACCTTCCCAGCCTCCTCTCACCTGCCCAGCCTCATCTTCCCAGCCTCCCCTCACCTTCCCAGCCTCCCCTCACCTTCCCAGCCTCCTCTCACCTGCCCAGCCTCCCCTTCCCAGCCTCCCCTCACCTTCCCAGCCTCCCCTCACCTGCCCAGCCTCCCCTTCCCAGCCTCCTCTCACCTTCCCAGCCTCCCCTCACCTGCCCAGCCTCATCTTCCCAGCCTCCCCTCACCTGCCCAGCCTCCTCTCACCTGCCCAGCCTCATCTTCCCAGCCTCCTCTCACCTTCCCAGCCTCCCCTCACCTGCCCAGCCTCCCCTTCCCAGCCTCCTCTCACCTTCCCAGCCTCCCCTCACCTGCCCAGCCTCCCCTTCCCAGCCTCCCCTCACCTTCCCAGCCTCCCCTCACCTTCCCAGCCTCCTCTCACCTGCCCAGCCTCCCCTCACCTGCCCAGCCTCCCCTTCCCAGCCTCCCCTCACCTGCCCAGCCTCCTCTGGATCCAGGGGGCAGTGCTAGGTCTGCTCTGCTTGCTCGTCTCTGAAAGACTTGCTTCCATAACCAACAGCCCCGAGGAGAGGAGGGACCTCGGGCTGCGAGGTTCCTGATGAGTTTATTTTAACGTTCCCCGTCCCGGGTGTCAGCAACGCGCTGCCCTTCACTCACGCTCACCGCCTGGCGTTCGGCCACTCGCGAGCCTCTCTAATTGCCGGGCGTCCCAGTGCCTGATGACTCACCATCACGGCCAAATGCACGATGCTAATTCCATTTGCCCGTTTGGTTCACAGCAGAGGTTTAAAGACAAAGACTTTCTCAAGGAGAACTCACCAGAAACCGTGTTTGTGCCGCCCTGGGAGCGTCCCCCAAGTTCCTCTAAGGCGTTTGAAGGCCTCTAACCTCTGCCCTCTGCCCTCTGCCACAGGGTCGGCTGGGAAATGTGTCACCGGGGGTGTGATGCCATTTCC